CTCTTTAAAGTTGTTTTCGTTTTGCACAGGTGGAAACTAAGGCATGGGGAGGAGGTTAAGCAACTTCTCCAAGGTTGAGCATTAGGATTTAAACCCAAATAGATCAATCTAACCAAAGCTTGTACTTTTTAAATAGTCTTGTCGGGTAGAGCTTCTCTCTCTCTCTCTCTCTCTCTCTCTCTCTCTCTCTCTCTCTCTCTCTCTCTCTCTCGGCAGTGTTGGGTATTGAACTCAGGGCCTAGTGCCTACTAGAAAAGTGCTCTACTACTTGAGCCACACCCCCAGTCCTTTTGCTTTTAGTTTGCTTCTCAGATAGGGTCTCATGCTTTCATTGGGGTGACCACGATCCTCCTACCTCCACCTCCAAAGTAGCTGGAATTATAGGCATGTACCACCACACCCAGCAAAGGTAGAGAATTGTTTAAAAAGTAATGTCTGTATATAGTTTGTAAAAGAAAAAAAGAAGCAATTAGTTCTAAAGAGTTATATAAACAAAACTTAAGTCTCCTACGCAACCCAATTTCAGGAGGGAGGGTCCTCCTTCCAGGAGCTATCACTATTACCAGCTCATTGTGTTCACTTTGGGAGTCTTTGAATAAAATGTGTGTATGTATGTGTGTTTATGTGTGTGTGTGTGCATGCACACCCATGCACATGCAGATGGGTGATACTAGCTACCATTCTGCACTACTGCACTTATCTACTAAGGAACAGTTCTTCATGCTTATTCCCCATCCAATATCCTCCCTCTATCTGCTCTGTAACAAAAGAAACCAGTCCTCTACGATGGGCATTATGTTCAGTCTTGGTTTCTCCAGACTGCATAGGCCCAGGATAGATCCATAAAGGCAAATCGTCATGTTAAAGGGTCCATGCATTTAACATATTAGGTTCATGTTGCCAAATTGCCCTCCACAAAGCAGGTCAAAGTTTTTTAAGCCCACCTGCTGGGAACCCTTCATGATGCCACATACAAATCTCTCTGTAGACCCTATCAGATGACAATGGTCTTTTTTTCCCCTCCAGCTTTATTGGACTATATTTGGCAAATAGAATTGTCAATGCAATGTTTTGCTATATGTATACATTGTGAGATGGTCACTACCATCAATCTATGTGACCTCACCCCATGGGTCTTTTATATTCTGGGTTCTTTCCAGCTCCTGGATCCTGACCAGGCACTGGGATTTCTATGACACTTAGTTTCAGATACAACCCACAGAGGGCACCTGACCCCATGTTGCTGGCAGATGTCCCCTGTGTTTTGAGCAGGGCCTTCTGTTCCAGGCTTGAGGCCCTAGCCCCGGTACTTGATGCTTTTGTGAACTTCTTGTCTCTTTCATGTTTTGATGAATTGATTTCTGGCATGAGAGTCAGTCAGTGTCCTCTCTCACCCCTGGCTTTCTAGAAACTGACTCTATATTTAGCATGGTTGCACCACCCCTGGCCCATTTCCTGAGCTAGGGTATAATTGCCAACCATCCAGAGGATGACAGGGTTCGGGCTCAGAGAACAGCGGAGGCATTGGGCTCCAAGGCTCTTGCCTCTCAAAACCAACTCTGCTCATAAGCAATTAGCTTTGGGAGGAAGGCGAGGTCGGTTGTGGGTTTTCAGGACAAAGCACAGAGCCAGGACTGGGTGGTCTGGCTGCCCTGAATCCTTGTGGGTAGAGACTAGATGACAGCCATATGTGTGGACAGGGAGTAAAGTGACCTCTAAGCCAACAGGACCTGTGGCCCAGACAACATCCATATTGGAGCACACATGCCTGAAAGGCCAGCCCCAGAATCTAGGTCCAGGTTCCAGGAAGGACCTAGGGACCTGACTGTTAGAACCAGAGAACTTTCTGTGGCTTGAACACTGACCCATCCTCCAGAGTATGATATGAAGCCTCCATCTTCCCAGCCACCATCCCTTTCTTCTGGTTCTGTGGAGCCTGGGAAGAGGTGGTTATCATATTTTAAAATAATAATTTGAAAGCTTCATAAGTTTACAGGCTGTTTTTTGTATTGTTCTCCCCAAAAATGTGATGACACGCTGCATGGCCAGAGGGCTGTAGAACAAGGCATGTGAAAGACCGTAAGCATATACTACATTCTGGCTGACTCCAGCCTTGCTATGAGGTCGTGTGCCTGGCCCCAGAAAATGCTCAGGGCTTTTTATTCTCCTCCTCCTCCTCCTCTTTCTCCATTTTACTTTCCTCCTTTTTTGTCTCCTTCTTTCCTTTGTAATATGTTTGGGCTTCACACTACAGCTGATAAAGTGAAAGCAAAAGCATTGCGTTTTTCCCACAAGTATTTTTCTTTTAACACAGCTCTGCATTTTTAGTATTCTGACCCCCCACCCCGCCACACACACACACATATACCAACTACCTTACAGTTAATTCCTGTTGTCAAGTGAAGTTGGGCCAAGTGGCTATCTCCAACCTCTGGTGTGTGTGAGGCCTGAAATTGGGCTTCAGGTTTAAATTAACACGAGAACAATTTTTAAATAAATTAAAAATATGGTGGAGGCTCCCAAATCTCTTTCTTAGAATACTTACAGTTTGGGGGGGCTGCCCCTGATGAGGTCAGAGGCAGGCCCCTAGAGCCTTAGGAAAGACAGGAAGGTCTCTGAAGGGCCCAAGGCCTCTCCTGGGGTCTCAGGAAGCTCTTGTCCCCATTGGAGATGGATTGAGGCTTTGGCTGGCATCACTGGCCACGCTGCTGAGCTCAGAGGACCAAGTGAGCTCTTCTTGGTACCCATGGCCCTGGAGGCTTCACAGGAAAAGCTCTGCGCCAGATAAGGCTATAGGTGGGTGGAGAGAGTAGTCTCTCAGACCTCAAGCAAAATGCCTGACTGTGGGGGGAAAAAAAAAGGAAATGAGAATTTTCTCTGAATTAGAAACTTCTAGTGTTAGTATAGGTTAGAGAATTGTGGGCATTTGTGGTAACAGGTGAAGCCTCAAGAACCACAGGGGAAGGAGAGGAAGGAGGAAGGGAGCGGCACCCAGCACATGTCTTGGAAAAAATAGATGTGCCTTGTGGCAACAACGATCTCATTCCTGGGAAGCCCTGACAGTTCCCAAAGTGTTTCCATATTCTTCTGTCCCTCAGGAAAGGACTGCCCTTGCAGTAGAGATAGAGGAGAAAGTTGAAAAGCTCTTGTTCCAATAAAGGTAGACAATGGACCCCATACAGTTGCTATGAGGACAAGACCAAGCCTTAACCAGAATAGACTTGGAGCCAAACCACTCCTAATGGCGCTCTCTACCTTCCCTTATAATCCTTGGGGTAATGAGGGTCACCACATGAGGGTATAAGAGCCAAGGTTCAAAACTAACAATAGCTACTTCCTCCTCCGCTGGGTCCCTCTTGACCTTGAGCTGTGCTTAAGGACTGCCTACCTGGGGTTATTTGCCTGTGGGCTCAACTTCAATGAGCACTTTGAGTTTCAGAGTTGAAAATAGTTCAGGACACTAGAAACTGAATCTCAGATCCCTAAGACTTCCACACCTGACCTTATAACTTCTACTAAAGAGTCATATTGATATATTGATAAGTTTCTTAAGCTCAGTGGTCCCATCTATTAAAGGGAGTCACACCAATGGCCTCTTTGATCATGTGTGAATTAATAGTCTGTGACTGACTGCAGCTGCTGCAGAACCTAATTTTGGTCTCTTTTCCCTCATCCACTAGACCAAGTCAGTTTGGTCTCCATTTGTGTCTGTCACCTGAGTCTGTACCCTGTTTGTGTTCCAGTAAATGTAAGCAGCGAGTCATTTACCAAGAATCAGAGCTAGTGTCTGGCATCCGGAGATAATGAGGTCACTGGCTCATCTCTGGGAGGGAAAAAGCTGGAGGACCTTGCCTCTGAGCTTTGAGTATCTCCACACTTGGCAGCTCCTTGGAAGATGCTACTGCTTGTGGGAAAGGGGATTCTGCCACTGTCTTTCCCTAGCTAGGTTTTGTCACCTGCTCTGGGGCCTATCTTACCCCTATGGGCCTGGGAAGAGTACCAGGAGCTTCTATGACAAGGATGGTGAGAAGCTTGCCTGGTAGGCATGTGGAGGGAGGTATCCTGTATGCAGCCTCCCAAAGTCCACATGGTGTGGCTGGCAGTGGGGAAAAACATTGAAATTTGGCAAGTGAGTCCTCGAGCTTGCACATGCTACAACACACATACGCACACAGAGTATTATATAGGATAGTGGGGTGGGATGCCCCTTTCCTAGCTAAAACTCTTTGGTAGTTTTCTGTTTTCACAGAGCCCTTGCTCCCTCAACCTTTCACAAAATCAAGGCTAGGCTGGATATGATGGTGTATGTCCATAATCCCAGGACTTGGAGGCTGAGGCAGAAAGACCTTGAGTTTGAGGCTAGCCTGGATTACATAGTGAGACCCTGTCTCAAAAAAAAGAAAAAGAAAAGGAAGGGAGGGAGGGAGGGAAGGAAGAAGGAAGAAGAAGGGAAGGAGAGAGAAGAGAAGAGATGAGACGAGAAGAAAGAAATTCAAACCCCCAAAATGTCTGAGATGGTTTGGCCTTGGGCCTTTCCTCCTTTCTCCATGTACCTGTGCACACATCTGCTCCTGGGTCACAGGATGTCCTAGTCACAGATCAGATTCTAGAACACTGAACACTGAGACTAACATCCTTGCCTCTCGTTAAAAGCATTATGAGGCTACTCTGCACATTTCAGTATTTTGGAAAATTCATTTGTCTATTTTCTGTATAATTTAAAAAGGGGGAAAGGGACAGAGGACTGTAAAAGTAAGCAAAGTCACAGAGCTGAGTAGGTAATAAAGGAAGAAGGGGTCAGTTGATGCATCCAGCCTGAGGCAGGGCGCAGGGCTAACTGAGCATGGGCTGGGCTGGGCCTCCCATCCTCTGAGTAAGATGGAGATCTGGAGACCTTGACAGCAGGTCTTCATGGTCACAGCCCTGGCAGGCTGCTCGTAGCCAGGGCTAAGGAGCCAGAAGGTCAGTGACTCAGCACAGAGCATGTGCTCTTTTGGCAGGCGGAGCATGAAGCGAAAGGCGCTGTTCACCTGTCCCTTCAATGGGGACTGCCGCATCACCAAGGACAACCGACGCCACTGCCAGTCCTGCAGGCTCAAGCGCTGTGTGGATATCGGCATGATGAAGGAATGTGAGTGTCCAGGGGTCTGGGTGGGAGTTGGGGCTACACTGGACTCTTAGAAAGTCTTTGGTCACTGTCATGTAAGTTTTGCCACAAAGGCCTGCCTGTCCCTCCTCTGTGGTTACCAGCAGCAGGACCAGGAGTGGGGCCCGAAGGGAGCTGGTCGGCTGTAGGGTGGAGTGCACCAAGGAGCCCTGGAGCCCCTGTGAGTTGGGCCTCATTCAAGGGCCTTGATTAAGGCTCCTCACTCTTTATCTCAGCTCTCCAGCCAACACTGGCAGCCTGGGAAGGAGTTTCCAGCTGTCATTCCTCTTCACCCCCACAGGAGCATGCAGGCCTGGACACGCCAATGGCGCCTACCCAGTCCCTGCCCCACCCCGGCTCCAGTGTTTATGCTGGAGAGAAGGAGTGCATGGAGGCCCCAGGCCTGGTGCCTTATGGGGTTTCACACACATTCTTAGTGGGGCCTTCTCTGTGTGATGCACTCAGGTGGTCACAGACAGGTATGATATAGCACCTGCCCTGTCTCTGGGAAGCAGGTTACCTCTTCAGGGCGGGGAGCTTGGGGTTCTGGGGCTTCAGCCATCCAGAATGGCATGGGGTTCCACTGTTGAGGTCAGTAAGATACTGTCATAGGAGTTAGGGCTAAAGTTGCTAATGTCCCAGAAGCCCCTGGCCTGCGTCTCATGAGGAAAGGTGTATCTTAATAACCTAGAACAGGATGAACACTCAGAGATCATCTGAGACTCAGAAAGGGAAAACACCAGGATTGGAGTCGGAGAGCAAGTTGGTGGTGAGCTGGAACTAACTCAGGTCCTCTCTGCAACTGCTCTGGGTCACCACAGGACCGCAACATCTGTGGTAAGGAATAGCACCAGGCCCCAGGTGCTGAACTGGAGGCCTTGGCCAGGAACCCCACATCACATGGTAGGAACAGCCACCCAGAAGTGGATGCCTACCCCTAAATTAGCTTTGTGCATTGGCCTGGTCCGTCCTCATGGAATCCCACATACTTCCCACATACTCTCCTGTCTCCAGTGTCTCAGAAGCAGGACTCGGAGTTCCAGTCAGAATATCAACATCAGGCCAGCATGAGGCCAGTCCTCTCCACTGCCCTGAAGGGCAGGATGTTCCCAAAGAATGGTGGTTTCTGCTCAGGTTAGCCCAGCTTTGTGTGCTTGGACCCAGAGCCCCTGGCTGAGAACTCAGACTCCCAGAGACAATAGAGTGCCTCATCATTTGTAAAACCACAGGAAGGAAGCTAAAAATCCGGACTCTCTTGCTAGGACAGGAAGGTGGGCCTCAGAGGAAGGAGAAGAGAAGGGAATGGAAACTCTTCTTAGACCACCTGCTATATGTCACATACTGTGAGACACAAACATTTTCTTAATTCTCACAACAGCACCTAAACATGTAAGTATTTCTTTTTCTTTTTCCGTGGGACTGGGGTTTGAACTCCAAACAGGCACTTTACCTCTTGAGCCACACCTCCAGTCCTCTATTATTATTTTTTTTTAGTAGCTAAGAATGTTCAAAGAAAGCTCAGAAAAGTATGATGCCTCCAGCTAATAAGAAGATGCTGTCAGCATTCATTCTGACTTAGGTCTCTCTACTTCCAAAGGCCAGGCTGTGGCTGGCTCCACCCCAGGACAGCCCCTCAGGCACTGCACTGGTTCAGAGTTCAGCTCCAGTTCTAGGCTCCGCCTGGGGCGGTAAGGGACAGGTTAGAAAGAGCTTTGTCTCCACAAAGACTTTTCGTCTCTCTTCAAATCCTGCTTTCCTTAATGACCTTGGAAACCAAGACTCTTAATAGTTTTATTGATGTTTTGAGGCAGGGTCTTACTATGTTAACAGCCCAGGCTGACCTTGAGCTCTTTATATGGCCCAGGAGGCCTGAAACTCTTGATCCTCCTGCCTCAGTCTCCCAAGTGTATAATTAAGTTCCTGCATCTTATTTATAGTACACCCACCTATTATGCTACCTTTAATGCTTTTACAGATGCGTATCATTTCTAACCAGTGTTAGCGCCCAGGACATAGAAGGTTTACAATAAATAATGTGCAAGCAAATGAATATTAGCTCTCCACTATGCTTCTTTTATGTCTATATATTCATTCAGTAAGATATAAGTAAGATTATCTCAAACATGACAGTCTGCATCATTCATTTGGAAAAATGTTAGGGGTTCTTCTCTGTTGTTTTAAAATTATTCATGTTTGCAGATCTTGACACCCCAACTCAACTCTAGGCTATGTTATGCAAGGAACATGTCTTGCATGGGAATAACATGTGCAAAGCTAATTCACCCCCAGCAAGGAACTTGGAAGGAAGTGAAAAGGCTACTTCATAGCCACGTGGTTTCTCAGAGGCAGGTACAAAAGCTCACACTCTTCATTCATTGGAGAGCCCATCAAACTCTTTCAACCTAGTTACCCTTATTCAGTGGCTTTTCACTTCAAAACATGTGTCTTCCTACACAATAGTAATGACATCTTAGTATTGATTCACTGAGAAAATAATTTTTAAAAAGATTTCCTATGAAATTAACAAACCCTTTAAGCAAATTATTTCAAAAATCATAACAGCATCTGCATAGAGACATATGACTTATTCAGGGCTAATCAGCCTTTCCTAGCCCAGGACCCCTAGGCTGGGCACTCTGTGTAAAACTAGCAATTCTCAGCTTTCTTCCTCTAGTCCCCAGCAGAAGATGGCTGCTATTTGAGGCAAGAGATTGTGAAGAACAGTGTTGTAAAGTTAAATCTTCTTTGTCTTTTTCAAGTCAATCATTGATAAACTTTGCTACTGTATTTAATTCTTTACACTCTTTAGATGCACTGCAACTCATTGTGTCAGGACTCCATGACTGAAAGCCAGAGTTCCATGAGCATCTACAACTGTTATTATTTGAAGCTGATGGAGTTGTGGTTATAGTCATTGACTCCAGAACCTGACTCCCTAGGTCTGAATAACAGCTCCACCATTTGTTAGCTATGTAACTCTGAGCAAGACATATAGCTTCTCTTGGCCTCAGTTCTCTCATCTGAAAAATGGGGATAAGAATAGCACTTGCCTTAAAGGGTTATTACAAAGGATAAATATATGTGAGTCAATGTACAAAAATAATTTATGATAGTGCCTGGCCCATTAAAATACCAACCATTATTATTAATATTATCTTTTTTTGCACTAAACATGAACACCAGGATTTCTAACTCCCCACATATCAGAAGTAACTCTTAAGATTTCTCATCTAGAGGCAGGCACACATCTAGAGGCAGGCACTGATCAGAAGAGACAACACATAGCTTAACAAAGGCAGAGGCTGAAGCCATAAAAAGTAGCACAAGGATTCCAATGCACACAACTCTGAGGTCAACCTTGCTGCAAAGTTCAGTGATTATTCAGAATGCTGACTTTGAATCATGGAGAAGAGGCTGTAGGATGTTTTAGGTTTCTGTTACAAGATAGTCTCTCTTGAAAATATTTCAATCACAATTATTTAAAGAAAAGAGGTAAGTTATGCTTAGTTACTCAGTGGCCTAGCATGTGATGTGTGCCATTCCCCACATTGCAGGATACAAGCAACTTGGTGCACTCCTCACTATAAATGACTTGCATAGAGTAGGTACAATCTGTTTGATGTGCTCCAGGGCCAGGAACCCCCACTGGGCTAGTCTCTATGGTGAAACACAAGAAGACTTAGACCCAGCCCTTAGGTAACCTACGGTGTAGTGAAGGAGAACTTGAACTTGTTAGGTTCTCTCTGGGGGCATTTATTAAAACCTGTACTAACCATGAGTCTTAAAGAATGGAAGACTTAGGTGGCAGTGTGTATGGAAAAGTCTAAATATACACCAAGCATAAGGAATGAGAGCCTAGCACAGATCAGGGCAATGAAGAAAGATTTCATAGCAAAAAGGGCCACTGAAGAAGGACTAGAACTTGCACAGCCGTTGGAGAGGGAAGTCACCTTTTACAGGAATTCACCATAAATGGAAATGTGGTGGCAAGTATGAGCAGGTTGTGTTCACAGGTCAGTGATGCCAACATGCCTGGAGCAGAACCGTGTCCAAGATGTTGGGAAATGAGGTTGGAAAGTTAGGAAGAAGGTAAACCATGGAGAACCTTGACTTTGGTCTGGACATGGTAAGCAGTAAGGAGCCAGGAAATGTTTCTAAGCAGGAGAATAGCAGGAGAATCATAGGACAGCTACCAATGTCAGCAAAGCTCAGAAGCATGCCTGTGGACATCCACAATATAACAGCAGAGCCTGGCTTCCCTCGCTCCAATCTTATCATCAACTCTGCCCACCCCTCAAATGAACAACAGGAAAGACCAGACAGCTAATCTTGGCTTCCCCAGGCCAGGGCCTTTCCCCCTGACTTTCCCTGGGACATTCTCTACAACTTTCTCCCCAACCCTGCTTGACCTCTTAGGATCTGAGCAGAAACCCTCTGTGGGAGGAGAGTTGGCAGCTCTTCAGGACAGTGAATCAGTCATGGGCGTGACCTAATCTTAGCCCTCCTCTTGGTATGACTTTTTGGCTGTGTAGAGAATGCTTCATCTTTTGCCATAGGCTTCCTTTTCCTGCTATGTCTGTAGCAGAGTGTCTATACTCACCCACCATATGCTCTTCTTCATCCCCCACCAGCTTTTCTAGTGCCCCCCTCCCCAAGGGGCCTGGGCCAATGGGCTTTTCTTGAAGCCTGGAAGCCACCCATTCGGGTTGTGGTTCCTTTCCCTGCTCTTGTGAAACTCCTCAGTGCTGTGGGCAGATGCCCTGGCAGCTCCAGCACACAGCAAGTAGGTACAGGCCAAGGGCCCCAGTGCCCACTCCTGTCATCAGGCTCTGCAAGCCCTGGCCAGGAGGTCTGTTTGCCCGGCTGCTATGCCAGGCATCCCTGCTCCAGCTCCGCCCTCCTGGGCAGCTGCCCAGCACAGTGCAGCAGATACCACCACAGGAGCCCCTGTAGGTGGCAGATGGTCTCCTGTGTTCCATCACCCACTAGCAACTTGGAAAGAGTACCCCACTTTAGAGCTATGTGGCGCCAGACTTCAGGAACTCCAGGAGGACTCAAAACCTTCCTTGAGCAGAAATTTAAAGACTAGACAAGCTGGAAGAGGGTTGTTTTGGAGAGAACAAAAGAGGCAAATCTTTCTACTCTTTCAGAGTAGACCAGATGGATGCACTTCATGTTGAGAAATTTGGACATGGGATTGGCCACATACAGGGGTCTTCTCTGCATCTCCTAGCTTCCAATGCTGAGTGTTCACGCAGTTACTCTCTCCCTCACTTCACCTTGATGTCTCCTTCAGAATCATGGACCATAGTAGGGGATGGAGATAGGGACTAACATTTAGCTGTGAGAGATGTACATCCAGTTCTCAAAGGAGGTGGTCCTTTGAGATAAGTGTTGTACCCCCCCCCACATACATATACACACACACATGCGTGCATGCACACTCATGCATTCTTTATGGGGGAAGGAACAAGAGACCTTAAGCCAGGTGCCAGTGGCTCATGCATATAATCCTAGCTACTTGAGAGACTGAGATCAGGAGGATTTCGATTCAAGGACATCCCAGGCAAAGAGTTCTCAAGACCCCCCCATCTCCAAAATAGCCAGAACAAAATGGACTAAAGGTGTGGCTCAAGTGGTAGAGTGCCTGCTTTGCAAGCATGAAGCCCTGAGTTCAAACCTCTGTCCCACCAAAAACAAACAAAAAAACAAAAATGAAAGAAAGAGATCTTACAGGAGATTATATGATCCAAACTCTCCTTTTATAAATGAGAAAATAAAAGCCCAAAGAGTGAACAGTTTCCTCAAAACCCTGCAACTTGTTCTTGAGAATCCAGACTCTCTACTGCCAGGTCGTGACACCACTCAAATTCTTTCTTTCTCTTGCTTACACCTGCTTTTCATCATAGAAAACCCAGATTTCCTCCATATTTTGGCACTGCAGCCCTCACAGCAGCAGGGACCCCCAGCATGTGAAGAGACAACCAGTCCTCCCATGCTGTTCTTTCAATACTGGTGGAAGGTTTTGGAAAGAACTATGGGCTGACCCTTCTGACTCCCCTTTCTGCCCATCACAGTCATCCTGACAGATGAGGAGGTGCAGCGTAAGCGAGAGATGATCCTGAAGCGGAAGGAGGAGGAGGCTTTAAAAGACAGTCTGCGGCCCAAGCTGTCCGAGGAGCAGCAGCACATCATAGCCATCCTGCTGGATGCCCACCACAAAACCTATGACCCCACCTATGCTGATTTCACCCAGTTCCGGGTATGTCTGCTCGCTGGCCAGGGAGGATGAGCGGAGCCAGTGGAGAATCACAGATGTAGCATGGGCTCTGGGAACAGGCATGACGGGCCAGGTAACTTCGGGCACAGAACCAGGGAAGGGACAGAGGCTACTCTGCTCCTCCTAGCATTGGAAGGCTTCCCCAATCTGTAGATCTTCCTTGAAGACTTGTCATCAGAGCTGAGGACCAAGGCAGAAAGGTGACTCCAAAACAGGAGCCTCTGAGACCCCATCTTTCCCTTCCAGATTCCCATTCGTGTGGATGAGAGTAGAAGAAGCCATCCTCCAAGGCCCACACACAGCGTCTCCGGGGACCCCTCCTCCTCCGGCTTAGATCTCTACACCACCTCTCTAGGTAAGCAGGGCTTCCTGCTACCACCAAGTAAGCAGGGAAGGGATCCCACCCAATCTGCTCTTGGACTGTGGAATGAAGGCATCAGAAAGCTCCCTAATGTGAACAGCAGTTGTATAGTGTGGGCCCCAAGTGTCCACACAACAGGCCCCCCCAGTCACATAAGAAGGCTTTTCTTGCTCAGGGCCCATGATGGGAAGAGGCTAAAATGGGGTTCCATCTGTGCCCCCTGAGCCCAAGCTCATCCTCTAAGCCAGACTCTGCTAGTGCCTTCTTCTCTGAGGGTGACCTGATTCTTTTACATGATGTTTTGATCATGGGCTCTTTGAAAGGTGGAATTGGAGTGGCAGAGAAAATGTTTGGAGGGCTGGCGGAGTGGCTCAGCTGATATAGTGCCTGACTAGCAAACATGAGGCCCTGAGTTTAAACCTCAGTGCCAACAAAAAAAAAAAAAGAAAAGCAGAGCAAACATTTGGGTTCCATTGCCTGAGCCTGAGGACTACTGTGGTCCTGGACAACCCGCCACCTCCAGCTCAGTTGAGGGTCTGAAAGGCATTGTGCTTTTCTTCTTATGGCCCTTTTATGCCTTCATCTTCATCATTCTGCCTCATCCTCCCCTTGCTCTCACTCTCTACGTCTCACTGAAACCTGGTGTCCTCCACTTAAGGTCTGTAGGATGGTGAGGATGGACATGTTCTCTCCCCGCTGGACAACCATAGCCCTCAGATATGGTACTTCCAGACTCTGTGATGCATCTGTGCATGGATCCAGAATAAGTAGAAAAAGTCCCAGTAACAAGTGGATATAGATAGCACTTATGGCTGTCTATAGGGTCTCCCACCCAGAGGTGACAGAGGGAGGTAGTCAAGTGCTAAAAAGAAGCACGGATCACTGCATGGACTGACTAGCCCTCACCTCACCCCCACATGTTAATTCTGCTTTTCACTTGATGGCACATTCATTTGTACCTGTGAAGACCAATCTGTCTAAGCTATACATTGGTCAGTACTTCAGCTTTTAATAATCACTCCATGTCCTGTAGGAGTTTTTGTACCCTTCATAGGTTAACTGATCTGTGGTGCTCATCCCACCAATGGTATGCTTAATATAGCATATATTTGTTTAAAAATTCAGGCAAGTTAAAATTTGTAATTTAAGAAATTACTATACAAAAGCAATACATATTCATGATTGTTATTTAGAAAATAGAAGCTAAAATTTATGTATATCTATAAATATAAATTTCATTACATATATAATCTTTAATCCTACCACTCAAAGAAAACTATTACTAATACTGTGATGTGTGTCTTCCTCATCTTTGTGTGTGTGCGTGGGGATTGGGGGGAGGGTTCCTGGGGTTTGTACCCAGGGCCGTGAGCATGCTAGGCAAGAGCTCTATCACTTGAACCATGCCCCAAACCCTTTTGTTTGTATTTTGGCCTGAGAATCCTTAAATAGTTCCTTCCCTTTCTTCATCTTCCCTAGATATGATGGAATCACCTAGCTTCTCCAACCTGGATCTAAACGAAGAAGATCCAGATGATCCTTCTTCTCTGACTCTGGATCTATCCCAGCTCTCCATGCTGCCCCACCTGGCTGACCTGGTCAGTTACAGCATCCAAAAGGTCATTGGCTTTGCCAAGATGATCCCAGGATTCAAGTAAGAAACTTCTGTAACATCTGGGGAGCAGTCAAAGAATCATTGATTGAGCTAGAAGAAGACTTGAGGGTCACACTAATCCTCTGCTTCCCCAAAACAAAGACCCAGACCTCCTAAATCAGAATCCCTAGGGGAGGCCCCAGGGATTCTGTACTTTAGGACATGTGGCCTGTCTAGCATCACTCTGGGAGCCAGCCCAGGAGAGCTGTCCATCCCATACTTTCTGGATGATGAGATGAAAGCCCAGAGAGCTTTGATAGCCAGCCAGGATCCCTTTCTTATGTCAGAGCAAGGCCTAGATCTCTCAGTTCCCTGTCTAGTCCACTCTAGCTGGCTTGACTCTTCTAATCCTTGTACTATTCCTTCCATTCAATCTATAATGTTCCTTCACACCCAATTCTGAGACCAGGATGAAGAGATAAAGAAGAGAAAAGATAGGGTAGGGCATGTAGATTTGGGAAATAAAACAGGAATCCTAGAGAGAGGAAGGCTCATTTGTTGACATACATGACCTGGTGATCCTTCACCCAAATTTGTATTAAAACACCATTTTCTAATCATACTGTACCTTTATTGCCAAAATAGATACAAGGAGCCATACTGGAATAGACATCCTTCTGTACATTCATTTATAAAAATTTTACCCCTTCATTTCAATGTTTTATTGTCTTCATAATAATGGATGCATAATTCTTATATTTGAACATTCCTACAATGTTAAATATTCTTAAAATGCTAGAGTGTTTTGCTTCTAGTAGATATGTTGGGAAATGGTTACATCTATATTTATATATATTCCTATCCTAATTCTTTTCAAAAGTTCATTGGACAGATTGTGGTTGAGAAATAGAAAGTAATAATTTCATATCAAGCAATAACATTTTCATTTCGAGTAGTATCAATAGTTGTAGCTATAACAGAAATAGCAGAATGCTTCCTAGATACCAATGTTCAAGTTCAGTGTTGGGATCCTGAGAGCTGGAAAATGATTTGAGCTTGGCCAATTCTAGCTGGAAACTAAGAAGAGGTATCACTTATTGTTTTTGTGGACCTCTCTTCCCTGTGTAGGGAAGTAATCAGTTAGTTATTGTTTAAATTATCACATTGCCCCCTAAATGATGGTAATTCACAAAGATGAATTCAGCACTTTCCGGTTTGTTTCTTCCTTGTTATTTTGTGCCTCTCACTAATCCAACTACCAGAAACTCTCCAATGCTCTTTTCCTGGAATTAATGTGAACACACGGTGTTGAGACCCTATTACTGAATCAAACTTTCAGTCAGGCAGGAACAAGTACCCAAGTCTTCAGTGAGCCCAGGGTGCAGCTGGCCTGGTTTTTCCCTCCAGCACATTGCCTTGGAACTGACAACACATTCTATTGAGCACAAGTTCCAACTCCCTCCTTCAAGCTTCGGGTTACTGTTTGCAAACTCCATGCCTTTCAAAATCTTGTTTTATGTAGATAGCTAGAGAAAAAAACACTCCAAGGTGCCGAAGTCTATATAATAGCACATGGCTTCCATCCTAATTCTCAGGACCAGTCCTCATCTACACAAGATTCATCCTTCCTTGCTCTAGTGGGGAGTTGAACAGGTGGTCCCTGAACCTCTCTCACATGTAAATGGTGGTGAGTGTTGCACACATGGGAAAACTGTCCGAAAAAGACAGTTCCTCATTAAACCAATCATCCCAACACTGCACATAGTCCAGCCTCCAATTTTTTTCTCCCCTGCCCTTGTTCCCTATCCCTTACCCGCCCCTCAGTTTCTCTCCCAACACTGAACTAAAATCTTCCCCATCCTTTCCTTTCAAGCCTCATTACTGCAGGCTTGCTTGTCTAGCCCTGCAGTCAAGGCCAAAATGAGGTAATGTAAGTAGGTACTAGAGCTGCCTGTCCATTGATGCAAACTGGATTAAACTGATCCTGGATGTTCTTGGAATGGCTTCTTTCTCTCTTCAGCATGACCTGAGACATCTTTGATTGTTTTCTAATAAAAATGGAGCAGGCGTTGGCAAGAGCTCTGGGGGATGGTGGAGGGGATCCATTGATGTGGCACTCTGTGACCAGATGGAAGGGATGCTGACCTGGATGGGAGTCAGCCTAATAGCTCTCTGGTTCTCCCAGTTTCCACACTAAGGAGTTCTGTTTTCCCAAGAAGTGGAAGAACAGTAGCTGTGTCCCTAGTGGTTTTGATCTTGCTGCCTGTAGGCGAGAGCAGCAGGTGTGGGGAAGGCAGAATGAGACATCAGTGTGGGTGACAGGAGGGGGGATGGGATGACACTCCAGCAGGCATGGAACCAACATGGGGTGTGGGGATGGGCTGTTCTGGGTGTGAACAGCACTTGCAGTGAAGCCTTGGCCCTGCTCCCTCCTCCCACCTCCCATCCTTCATCCTCTCAGGCTTACCCACAAACCTCCCTCCTTGTTAGTGCTGTGAAAGAAATGAATGGAGGAAGTAACATCATAGTGGCTTCTAAAATCATCAGGAACAGCTATGGGTAGATGTGAGGCCTGAGCACTCCAGGCCGTACTGCCAAGTGAGGTGCAAGGGACCAAGCCATGCCAGCTGGAACCCAGCTCTAAGGGCCAAATGCCTTCAGTCTCACTGCCACTTCCATTTCCAGGGACTCTTCCTGAGTCAAAGTCCTGGGGGTCATGGTGCTTCTTTTGTCCTATGCCTTTCCTGCACATTCATTTATTCATCCAGCCAGCAAGCAGCTTTTTTATATAAACTGAGGGAGAGAAGTTGACTAGGATGCAGCCTGGCCTCTAGGGATTCAGAGTCTGATGGAAGAGATAGACCTGTAAACAATGGTAGCAAAGAGATAAGAGGTGTGCTAGAAACTGCTGCAAGTACCATGGGAACACAGGCGAGGAGGGGTGGCCCTCTACCCATTCGAGAGGGAAAGGCAAGACAGCAGCACAATTCCAGGGCATAGCTTGGGTACCCAGAAGTGGCCACAGCTGTGAAGTGACATGTGAGGAGGCACACGGCCAGGCTGGTGCTGGTGGTAGCAGAACTGCCCTCTTACCGATTTCTCCCTTAGCCCACAGCTACTCCCAGCCACCACCATTCCCAGTTCAGCCTCAGTTCTGGTTGTGAACCTCACTTAGAAAGTCCCTGCATTTCCCAGCTGTGCTGTAATGTAGGGTCATTGTAGGTTTGCTTCATAGTAGTGGCATGTCTGGGTCACGGTAAACAGTGATCCTGTTTCTGAAGTCTCTCTAACCATGCACCGAGGGGATGATTACTCACCATGGCCATCCATTCTGAGTGAGGCATTGAACAAAGGTATTCCTCACAAAATTACCTAGAATGCAGAAATTAAGAAGTAACCAAAATGTCCCAAAATAAGTAAATGAGAGACTGATTAAACAACTTTTAGTATACTGATACGATGAAACATGCAACCCACTAAGAACTGGGCTAAAGAATTCTTAGTGATACAGGAAATGGGATACAAAATTAGTATGAACTCCAATATGCTTTTAAAAATTATATACAATATATTATGTTATATATAATAACTGCAATATGTATAGTAAATAATAATATAATATATGCCATATTATAATATATCATAGCATATTACAATGTATATTTGCATAGAAAAAAGTTAGGAAGGAAATGTACCAAAATGTTAACTGTGGGTCTAAGCAATTTTTATTTGCTTTTATATTGTTCTGTATTTTCCCAAGATTTAATAATGAATATATTCTATTTAAATAATGAGTTAAAAACCAAATGGAGGTATGTTTGTTTTTATTTTTTAGGTGTGGCTCAGGCATCTCGAGAACAGTGATGAGGATGATGAGATGTTTAGATGCTATGTTGTCAGCCTGTCTTAGAAAACTCATTAGCCATGGGTAAAGGGAGAGCTCGTGGATAACGGAGAAGTCTGGCTCTGTGTGCCTTAGAGTACAAAAACTACAAGTAATGAGTGAACAGATCATCACAGGGATTGTAGCTCAAAGGAAGCCTTGAACGCATGAGCTGCCTAACAACCTCATAGCTGGGTCCAGAAGCCAACGGAATCCTGCAGAGGCTGTTTAAGAGCCATCTGCCAAGCATGTTGAGGAGAAATTGGCCATATAGTCTCTAAGAGGGGCCTCCCAACTCTAGCACTTTGGGGGTTTTTAATATAACTCCTTTACTTGCCATCCTAACCGTGCAAACCTTGTCATCCCCCATCATCTATCACCAGCTGATACAGGTCTCCCATCAGTTAGTTTTTATACCAAAGTGCACCCACAGAGAGGATGAGGGTCTATGCACAGGATATCTGGAGGAACTAAACAAGCAAGGAAGAAAAGTTGGAAGCAAACTCACCTATGAACCCCACTTTTCCCTTGCCACTGTTCAGACAAGCCCAGCTCATGACTCAGAATAGTGGAATAGTCCTTGGCTTCTAGACACATCAACACACATGTTTATTGATCCTCTTGTACTCAGAACTTAATGATCAGTGAATGGGCAACAGTAAGGTAATTAAGAGGTGGTGTTGGATTACTTGGTGTTGGAACAAGTAATCTCTGAGAAATGCATTGGACTCCAGAGACCTCCTAGGCTTGGAGGCACAGCAGGCAGTGGGTTTGAGGCAGGGTGTGGTCTAAGCTCCCAGACAAAAGAAACCATGAAACAGCCATAGGCAAGGAGCTGACTCCCACTGCCAGTGATCTGGGTCACGTGTTAGTGGTAAAGCAGCCCAAACAGGATCTTGACAAGAAATGAGTGACTTCCTGAAGGAACCACAGCAATTACAAGCACTTGCACTGTGCCTGGGTGGTGCTGGGAACTTCATGGCAGGGTCTGGTTCAACCATGACACCAACCTGGGGAGGGGGTGGTTATTATTCCCACCGTACAAACAAGGTAACTGAGGCACAGCAGCTTGCCCACAGCTCTCCAGCTGCTGAGTAGGACCCTGAGTACATCCCTAAAGAATCTCAAGGGAAAAAGATCCAGCACGAAGAAGGGCCAGGTAAAAAAGTAAACTGCAAAAATTTATAAGGGAGGTGATTCTGGTCTTGTCTTTTAAAAGGCATAATGATTCATGTGCATGAATACAGATATGCTTTATGCATGAACAACAAACGACAAAAAGAAGTGGCCTTCTCACAAATAAGAACCAGAAGTAGTGGCTCTCACCTGTAATCCCAATACTCCAGATGCAGAGGCAGGAGAATCTTGAGTTCTAGACCAGCCTGAGTTACATCATGAGATCCTGTCTCAAAAAAAAAAAAAAAATACAAAGAGCCAGAGACAAGCATATGAAGGACAGAGCTGAAGGGAAAAGGAAGAAAGGCAAAACAAAAGCACGAGGAATGTACAGTGGGTCATAAAGCAGTGGCTTTTATTCTGCTGAAGACTATTGGAGGGAGAACACATTGGATTCAGGATCGAAAAAATGAGTTGGAGCATTGGAAGGGTGTTCCTGGCTGGAGGTGAACCATGGTCAAAGACATGATGGTGAGAGCGTCCAGTATCTGGATGCAGATCGTCCAGTGCTGCTAGAATGGAGGATCGGTAGAGTTTGTGATGAGAAGCAGGGCTGGAAAGACAGGTTGGATATGGGTTTGACCTGGGGTGTGTAAGAGTTTGTGAGGATTTCTAGGCACAAGAGTGACATTGACCTGTAGCAGCGATAGGAAAGATGAATGAGAGGCCTGAGAGACTTCATTCCAGGACGAGGGAGCTCTGAACTGGAGCAGCTCTGGTGAGAGCAGGAATGAGGCCAAGGGCTTGGGAAAAGTCCTGGAGACAGAGTTGACTGAGCTTACTACTGAAGAGCAGTGGCCAGGAGGAGGGAGAGGATAAGGAATCATGGGAGGTATTGAAGACAACTCTGGACATACCATTTGCAGACCACTTATTCATGCTGCAACACAGGGAGCTTCTTCGGGTTCTCTCTTCCTGTCCCTAACAACTCTGACTGCTCAGTCACAGGGTTTCCCTTGTCTTAGAATCTGAGCTACTTCAATTCTCACCTTGGCACACAATCAGAGTTGAGCTGTTCTCCTTCGATGAACATTCATTTCCTTTCCAACCAGGTTGTGAACTCCTTGATGGAGAACCCAGCCACATGCTGGTCACCTGGCAGCTGTATAGCTGTCAAAACACTAACAGATTGTGTGATTTGAGAGTCTTGACTCCCATCCCCTCTCCACAGGGATCTCACCTCTGACGACCAGATTGTGCTGCTGAAGTCAAGCGCTATTGAGGTTATCATGTTACGCTCCAACCAGTCCTTCAGCATGGATGATATGACCTGGGACTGTGGCACCCAGGACTACAAGTATGACATCAACGATGTGGCCAAAGGTGTGTCTGGACTCCACCTCCACCTCTTCCAGCTCCCAGACTCAGACTCCATCCAGCCTGGAGACTTGAATCCCAATCAGACACAGAGAAGGGGGCAACAGGGAAAGAAGAGCAAGGGTCAGGCTCAGCCAGGGCTAGAAAGGGAAGGATGGGTGGCTTCTCAGCTGTACCCACAACACCTGGCTATTCTCTCCCACAGCTGGGCACACCCCGGAGCTGATTGAGCCCCTCATCAAGTTCCAGGTGGGACTGAAGAAGTTGAACTTACATGAGGAGGAACATGTTCTGCTTATGGCTATCTGCATCGTCTCCCCAGGTATGGAGCCTGGCAGTGAGGAACTCAGGGGCCTGGGAGGTGGGGGAGTGTGAAGAACACAGATTTGCTGAGAACCAGCATGGCAACCTGGCAGGAGAAGTAAACAAAAGAGAAACAAATAAGGAAATGCCAGCTGTGTGGGGTTTGCACGGCCCATGTGGTGCATGGACACTGGGCCTCTCGCTGCCCTTGGTTTTGCTTTACAGAGATTGCAGGTGGTTCATGGGATTCTGAGGAACCAGATAATGGGGGTTCCTCGGGCATTCCCAGTACTCAGGCTATGTTCTTGTGTGAACTGGTCTGAACTTTCCTGTCACTTGAGGTCCCTCAAGGCAGGGTGCAAAGCCCTGGGGAAGGACAGGTGGTTCTGCCCAGATGGTTTACCTGACCACTTTGGAGGCAGACTACTGTGACCCTTGACCCCTTCTATTCGTTTGGGATGGGAAGAAGGAGCAAAGGCTGAGGAGGAAGTTCTTGTGGTCATGAGGATGTCATATTGGTGATGAAGCCCAAAGGAGGACAGCCCTGCCTCAACCCAGACTTTGTTCAGGGGACAAGCTAATGGTCTCTGCCCAGGACTGCCTTCCTGCAATGAAGACCTAAGGCATGGACATGGGCTCCCCTCCCCCTGCTTGGCTGGCATTTATCCTCTCATTAATACAATCAGCAATGACTTACTGGGCACCTGCTAGGTACTAGGTACTGTGTTAGGTATAGGGATTCAGCAGCCTGCAGGACACAGACTTCTTCCCCATGAAGCTTAGGGGAGACATTAAACAAATGATATTTAGGAACTAATTCCTAACACGATGAGAGTTTTGAAAGTAAGGGGGTGTGTGATACCGTAGGAGGGTATGGCAGCAGAGGGAGCCTGAGGTAATCTGGGGCATGGAGGTGGAGGATGGCAGGAATGGCTTCCTTCAGGAAAGGCTTTTGAGCTCTTACCCAAAGGACCAATCAGTCATGCAAATGCCAAATTACTGAGTTCCAATCAGAGGAAACAACTCAGAGGCCAGAGAGTGGCATATCAGGATATGGAGGCAAGGAAAGAATATAGAGACAGAGGGAACAAGGTGAGGAGGGAAAAGGGTCAGATGGGCCTATGAAAGGACTTGGTCCTAAGTGCAGTGGGAAGATGCTGAGGAGTTGTAGGCAGAATGGTGATGTCCTAGGTCAGCAGTCAAATGGTCTCTGGCCTGCGGGTATTGAGGTGGGGTGTGTGTTTGGGGTGGTAGTAAGAGTAGTAGTAAGGACACAGTTCAGAGCCCCTGTGTCTTCTCCTCCTGCCCTTTATGCCACAGACCGACCTGGGGTGCAGGACCGAAAGCTGATTGAGGCCATCCAGGACCGCCTGTCTAACACACTGCAGACCTACATCCGCTGCCGCCACCCACCCCCGGGTAGCCACCTGCTCTATGCTAAGATGATCCAGAAGCTGGCTGACCTGCGGAGCCTCAACGAGGAGCACTCTAAGCAGTACCGCTGCCTCTCCTTCCAGCCTGAAAGCAGCATGAAGCTCACACCCCTTGTGCTGGAGGTGTTTGGCAATGAGATCTCCTGACTAAGGCAGCCTGCAGTGACACCTGGGAGGGGCTGCTCTTCCCTAGCCCTGTGCCCAGGTCCTAAGCTGGCTGTAGCCCAGAGGTACCTCCCACCCCTTCTGGAGTTCTCTGCCATCATCCTTTCTACCTGGTCCATCCTTTCTCCTGTCCAGCCTAATACCTGTTCCCCCTTTCCTTCAGGCCACGGGCTAGCCCATATCCCCTTGAGATCTCAGTCATGAGAAGTTGTTGTTTATTTGACAAACTCAAGTGAGGACAGAGGCTGGAGGCTGGAGACAGGGCCTCACCCCAGGATACCCCATCACTCCCTAAATGGATCTGCTGGTGCCAAGGAAAGGTGGACAGTAAAGATGTGCCCATTTCTCAGGGACAGAGATACCTGTACCTCCCCCCACTTCAGGCTCATCCGTTCAGAGCCTGGTGGGATTCCTCTTCCCCTGACCACCGAGGATACATAACTGGCCCCCAGTCTCCGCTCTACCCCATCTCTTGTGTCACCAGAATGTGTTGTTCTATCCCAGGGCAGTGTGCCATGATGGGGCCTTCTCCCTCTGCCTTCCCACTCCTGGTCTGCTTAGGACACTGACTGCCAAGAATAACCAAACACAAGATGACTAGGGTCATTACTTCCTCCTTGCCCACCCCCTGACCTAGTCCCATCTTCATCCCTTTGCCACGGTGATCCTCTCATGGGTAGTGGCTCTGGTACGATGGGCTTCCTCCCTATCGCTGGAGCCACTGACCCACAGCCTGCATGAGAGGCCCCAGGAGGGTGGAACCCAGGGTCCAGGCAATGGAGAAAAAATAAAGCCAGCCTCCCAGAAGGGCAGTGGGTGGTGGTCCCAGGCCATCCCTGCCAGGAAGCCCAAGTCTTCTCCACCTGAATCTAAGGGGTGGGTAGAAGGGAAGTTCTCCTCCCAGCTGTCCACATGGCAGGGCTGAGATACCCCCAGGTTGCAGAAAATCCCCACCCTGTCCTCACTTCTTGCCCTATCAGTGCCTTTCCTCCCACCAGGAGAGTGGGCCCTCCTACCTTGGCACCCCCAGGAGACTTCATCTCTGATCGCCAAGGGTGGCCCAGAAGTCAGCTCAGTCCCCACCTCTCCAATACGGAGCAGTAGTGCGCCTCCCTCTTGCTTACCTATGGGGCCACATCTTCTCTATCTGGCAAGGAAGATGGAGAATTTGGTGTGGGTCCAAGCCTTCTGTTCAGACATAGAACCAGGCTGTACCTCAATGGGTGGGGGAGGAGGGTGGAGGTCTCTGGGGGCTGGACAGAGTGGGGAGGGGGGTGGAATGATGTGGGGCTGGTCCCCTTTTGATTCTCACTACACTACCCAAAAGCTAAAGGGGCTGATGAGGCTGGCAGGGAAGAGAATCCATAACTTCAAACTCCATTTCCTCCTCTGTAGCAGCCCAGCTCAGAGGGGACCCTCAGCTGTTCATCCCAGTTAAGCTTCTTGCTGAATGTGGGTTGCAGGTGTGTGTGTGGATGCACAGAAGAGGTTCTCCTAGGGAGGGTCCTCAAGATAACTGCTTGATTTGGGGGAACACAGCCACATTAAAAGCATCAATAGGGTGCATACAACAAGCAGGAACATGGTCTCCCAAACCCCCAGAAGATGTGCCCCTCTATCTACATCTTTTGTTTCCTGAAAACCACAGGAGAAACCAGACTCAACACTGCAAGAGCTGTCAGTATCCACTTGGCCCCATGCTTCCCAGAATTCTTCAGGTGGAAAACCATCTGGACACCACATCCCATGTTACAGAATAGCACACACATGACTTCATTTCAAATATATTAGCTATGAGTTGTTTTCAGAATCAGACCCATTTGTACTGTGTTCTAATGTTGAGAGGAGCAGGTACTGCTAATTCAGAGCTATTTATGGGGGAAAAAGTTATTGTGAAAATACTGTACGTTAATGATTACTGTTATTATAGAAAGGTCAAGAGAAAGATCTTTGATTTTGGCTGCAGATAACATTGATCTGGCTTGCTATTCAGTGGGAGGAAAACTTGAAAATTGCTAAACTAATTCAACTGCCTTATTAAAGAAAACTAACACTTAGAGGAGGGTGTGGCTTGCCCAAACTCATGTAACTAGTTAGAGGCAGTACCAGGACCTAAGTAGAATTTGGACTCACATCCAGTGTCCCTTTTATTAAACCTTGCTTGAGCTCAGACCCAATTTCCCATTCCCCTGGCAGCTGACCCAGTCCACTGCGGAAGCCCTGGATGTTAGACAGGGACCCTTTCTTTCCTTCCCTGAGTTGTAACCCTCAGAAGAAGGAAGGAGACATTGCTTCTGTCTCAATGTGAATCTCTCTCTCTCTCTCTCTCTCTCACACACACACACACACACACACACACCTGCCATGCTGTTGCTTTATCAGTAAAGTGCATTGGTCTTTGTAACGTCTCCTCCTTCCCAGCCCTCCCTCTGGCTCTGCCCTCTCCAGTGAACTAGGCTGGACCCCAAAAAACATCAGTTACTCAGCCCAGGGACCCACAACCAGCCAGGCCACACTCAAAAAGAAGTCTAGGAGCAGAGAGGAAAAGAAAAGTGGGACAAATGAGGTTACAGGGGGGCTTAATGGGAGCAAATGATATCATTTAGTCTATTTTAGAATGGGAGCGTGAAGGCAGGTATATTATAAATCTAAAACTTTTAGAATATGTTATTGGAAATGAAGGGAAGTATGCACCAAAATGGGAAACAAAATTCTCAGAGATAGGAAAATCCTCCTGTTGGCTAACTGAAAGCAAGTAGGGTAGTGTAAGTGAGGCCAACAGAGAAGTGGGGGGGGATGTACTACAATTTTGGTGAAAGCAAGACATCAAGCAGCAGCAGAAGGCTTTAAGAGTGCCTCCTGGGTGATTTCCAGAGAGAAAAAAAGTTTGCTAGGAGCTTGTCAAATAAACCAATGAAAAAAAAAAAGCTTTGCTTATGGTAATAAAAATGGCTCATCTTTACATAGCACTTACTTTGTGGCAAACACTGCTGTAAATAAACGCTTTATGAAAAGTAACTTGCTTTATCCTTGTAAGGACCCTATGGGAGATGGGCTGTTACTGCCCCCATTTGGCAGAGGAAATGACTTGCCCCAAGTGACACTGGCATTGAGAGAGGTGGGATTTGGAACCTTGGCAGCCAGCTCCAGAGGCCATTCATTAAATGCAACATTATACTGCTTCCTACTGAGCTGAGGGATCTGACAAATAACAGTCTTGCTAGTACTCTCTAAAGAGGACATAAGGGAGGTTCCCATTCCTAAATGGCCTCCAAGATGGGGACATTGGAGGTGCTGAATCAAAGAGTGCTCTAGGTGCAAGAAGTATTTGATCAAATGTGTCAGGCCCAATCAGGTATGACACCTGAAAAGAGCAAGAACGAAACCAGGAAACTATCGGCTAAAATGTGGCTTGCATTAGAGGTGGTTGCTGTGCCAGTGACTGAGGGATTGCAAATGACTCCTGTGTGTAAATAGGAATGCCAGGGATTCAAAGAAGTGAGATCCCATGCACCCCCTCTCCAAGGAAATGGGGTTCATGATGAAGGCTAACATCACTAAACACAGCCGAAAGAACCAAAACCAAGGAGATAGCAATCTGTAAATGGAGTAATTAGGCCCAACCAACATCTTTATTCAGGGTAAGTCGGCCTGGGAACATGTGAATGTGATTTACTTTAATTTTCAGAAACATTGGGAAAAATTTCAAGCCACAGGCTAAAATGTATCACAGTGAGATGAGTAGAGGAATTGGAGATAGGGCTTGAGGGCTGTTTTGTCATGGAAAATGAATGGACTAAGTGACAGGAAGTCAGCAGCTGCATAAATGGGCATATCTCTGGCTGGTGAAGTGTGACTTGAGAAACTGTTAAGAGAATCTTACTGGGTTTTGTTGTTGTTGTTGTTTTTTGGTACTGGGGTTGAACTCAGTACCTCAAACTTGCTAGGCAGATGCTCTTCCACCTGAAGCCACACCCCCAGCCCTTTTTGCTTTAGTTGTTTTTTCCATAGTGTCTTACACTATTTACCCAGGCAGCCTCTGACCTTGACCCTTCTACCTATGCCTTCCGCATAGCTGGGATTGCAGCTGTGTGCCACCATGCCTGGATTGGTTTTTTGAGACAGAGTCTCAATAACTCCTCCCACCCACCCTGGGCTGGCCTCGAACTGTGATCCTCCTGATCTCTGCCTCCCTAGTAGCTGGAATTACAGGCCTGAACTACCACATGAAGCCCATTTAGTGTTTTTATAGATGATCTAGGGGAACATAAATATCCCCAAGGCTATGTGTTATAATCAACTTTTCCAGATAAGCTGAGAAAAATGTGTCCCAAGAAAATCTTATAATTAGGATAAAGTGCTTTTGGGTTTTCACACTCCAAGCTTTGGCTGTACTCCTCCACTGCTCAATAAAATACCATTGGCTACATGTAACTATTTAAATTTAAATTAATTAAAACTAAAGAAGACATTAAGCTTCTCAGCTACACAAGCCACACTTTCAGTGCTCAATAGCCTCGAAGACACTATAAGGGACAATGCTGATACAGAAGATTTTCACCATTGCAGAAAGTTCTGTTGGACAATACTGGTCTACACCATGCATTCTAATCTGGTCCCAGTTGTGGATGACTACCTAAGGATTCTTCTCCCAAATGCTTCTGCTGATATGTTAGGCAAAACAGCCACTGATTGATATCACATGGAAGGTACATAGGGAATATCTTCCCCTTTGTCAGGTTGCCACTCTGGGACTTTTATGAACAGGACTGCTTCTCAAAAGAGACATAAAGGGAAAATGCGTCATAGGTCATCAGGTTCAGAGGCTGAGAGTCTCATGTGGTATAAAATGGGTCATCTTCATACCAGGAAATATGAGCTCCTTTAGCCGTGGGGACAAGCAAAATCCTCTGGTCAGTTTCTCTAAGCTTCCACTGGGATTCCTTGGAGGCCACCTGTGCAGCACAAGGTCTGTCTGCCTAACCCATGGCCCCTGCAGGCTACAAGGAGCATTAGTGCTATCTGGCATCTCCGATGGACCAAGGAGATCCCTCAGGACACTGACGTCCAATATAGTCCTCATGGTGGACAAGGAGACTCTGGGGCTACTGAGGACTCTGTGCTCTGAGCCACCAAGAAATACACCAGCTGCTGGCTGGCAGTGGGATTCTGGGATCTCACTGCTCCAGACAGGGAGAATATCTGTGTTCATATAAGGC